CTTTTCAAGTGTTTGATTTATAATAGTGTTTGATGTTGTCAGAAAGAAAGGATTGATTACTCAGAGGAAGAGCTTTACTTAATTTTCCACATTTGAAATTTTAAATATAGTTGAATTCAACTGGCATGAATGTGGAGATGGTTTGGGGGCAAAACATGCTTTTTAAACGTTTGCACCCTGTTAGGGAGACTATAAGACTTATGGTTAAGGATTATAATTTCCTTATTTCTGTTGTATTTAGCTATTTTTGAGTATTGAACTATAAGTTAGTGAAGTTGAGCACTGAAAGAATTTTGAAATCCCCTTGTTAATTTTTTTCTCTCTCCGAGATTTTTTAATATCATATATTTTTTCAAATGACAAATTAAATCACTAAATGTTGCATTTTTTTATTATTTTGCTCTAATTGTATTTGTATAGTGATTGTTCTTTATACTGACTTAGAGCTTTTCTATGTGATGCTTTAGTCTGCACCAAAGGGGTGTAAATTACTGTCATGCACCAACTGGCCTGTATGGGCCCTGCTGGTGTGCATTAGAATTTTTTTAGTACACATTTATTTCCCATTTCATAATGTGCACCCCAACTTGGAAGTACATTTTATTCAATGGCATTCACTATTGGAGACATTAACAGGAATTTTGGGGCAGCCAGATATTAAAACGCTTCTATTCCAGTAGCTGCTCATGGCTGTTCAAGTGTGATGCAAGTGAATCACTCTCGTTAGGCTCATCTAGACTACATTTCTCTGTCAAAAAAGGAATGTAAACGAGCCCGATCAAAAAGCGCAAATGAAGTGTGGATTTAAATATCTTGCACTTCATTTGCATATTCATGTATGATTGCTGTTTCAAAAAAGGGTTTTTCGAAAGTGAAACTGCAGTCCAGACGCAGTTCTTTTGGGGGGGAAAGAAAACCTTTTTAGAAAAAATGAGTATGGACTCTTTCAAAAAGGGTTTTTCCCAAAAGAACCGCATCTAGACTGTGGTTTCACGTTTGAAAAACCCTTTTTTGAAACCGATCAGAAGCGAATATGCAAATGAAGCACAGGATATTTAAATCCGTGCTTCATTTGCACTTTCAATGGAGCTAATTTACATTCTTCTTGCGACAGAGGAAT